TTTTTTTTTTTTTTTTTTTTTTTTTTTTTTTTTAATGGCAGCTGGCCAGTCTGGGGATCTGAACCCTTGACCTGCACTGTAACCAATTAATTAACCAGACAGCCTGACTTTTTCAAAGTATTTTTATACTCTGAAAATTCATTCTCCTTCTGAGAAAAGCAGAAGAAAATGTTTCTTCTTCCACTTGAAGAATTTAATTAGTATATCTCATTCTTAGGGATTCAGATTTTCTCTATGCCTTTTAGGTAATAGATTCCTCCATCACCATAATCTATTTCCTGCCCCCATTTTTCCAAATTTGTGTCCTCTTAACAGTTGGCCTTTAGTTTTAGGAAATGAAGCAGAATTGCCCTCTGAGGGATAAGCATGTTAAAGTATAAATAATAACAGTTACAGACTGTAGTTTAACCCAGAAGTCCCTGTGTTTTTTTCTTTAACATTTCTTGCAAAGCTATTATTTTTCTATTTTAAAAGTGTTAGTAGAAATGTGTTTTCTTAGATTATAAGTATTTCAAAAAATTTGTGGAGAAATGGAATGAAAAGGTAGAATGAATCTTTTCATGAACTTTTGAAGTTCCCTCATGTGATAATCATTGAGGAGATGTGATGAAATAAAAGGGAGGCAGTAATTAATTCAGGACACTTTTTGAGAAACAGTCCAGTGTATGGTTTCAGTAAAATTATTCTATATTTGAATTCTATTTCTCAGTTAATTTAACTCACTTCCTCAACTTTTATAATAAAATTCTCCAGTCATTGCAAAAGCACAAAGACATCTTTTTTTGTGCTTTTGCAATATAGGAAATGTACAAAATCTGTACAGAATGTATATAAATATCTAAACTGCCAGGCATATCAGATCACTAGTGGCATCATCCTGAGGTGAAATGAAGTAGAATCTTTAGACGTGTTTTTCTGGGGAAAGTAAGTCATCATCATTCTACATGTTTAACTACAACCTAGAGCAGGGGTCGGCAAACTTTTTCTGTAAAGGGGCCAGTTATATTTTAGGCTTTGTGGTTACATACAGTCTCTGACACATAGTCTTTGTTTTTCTTTTCAGCCTTTAACAATGAAAAAATTCCTCAATTCTTAATGTAAGGGCCATACAAGAACAGGCAAGGACACAGGCAGGATTTGACTTTCTGCTAGTTTGCCAACCCCTGCTAGAGAGGATGGACCTAGAGGATGTGCAATGAATACTTTTCTATTCTAGACTTAACCAGCTGCTTCTGTAGCGTTGTCTGTTACACTTTTACATTGCCAGTGTTCATTCCTTGCTACCTATGGTAAGAGAGACTGACTTGGTTTGCTCTGCGTTTGAGAGCTGTTAAACTTAATATAATGAGATGAAGAGAGTAATATATGTTTCAGGTAGGTATGAATCATAGAGATACAAAACCAGAGTAATCAATTCTTTGTTTCCCTTCTCCAGATGTCTCTTGTCGTTGCCAGTATGGTAGCTGTCATTGCGTACCGCCTGGCGGTCTTTGCTACATTTGCTAGGTTCATGGAAAGTGAAGCTTCCTTACAGCAAGTCAAAAGCTTCTTCACTCCCCAGTTAGCTACGACACTCACAGGATCATGCTTGAACTTTATTGTCATCTTGATCCTGAATTTCTTTTATGAAAAGATATCTGCCTGGATTACAAAAATGGGTAAGCTGGCCAAATCATTCATATGACCCTGAAAAATGTTACACATCCATTTTGGATCATCTCTCAGGGAGATAATTTTCTAAGGGCATATTTTAAGGCAGTGTTACTCTGTAGATAGACCCACAGCCTGGTGCTTCAGAGTCCCCTAAGAGCCACTTTCAGGTCCATCCATTATAACAGAAGCACAAAGAAGAACTGAAAAAAAGAATTACTACTCTAGATCTTTTTGACTGTTCTTGTCTTAATCCTTCTTTGATGGGTTTAGATGATTCCTAAGTAAAGTCCTCACTTTATTCAAAACACAGATCATTTTATTTCATGTGAATGGTTCTTGGAAGATGTTCGATTTCAAAAGCCATCGTGAGAAAAACAATACTCCACCTCCTCCTAAATAAATCTAAAATTTAGTGCTTTTTTTTTTCTTTCAGTTGCTGTCTATTGGATTATTTTCTTTTTAAAATATTAAAATTTCTCCTAAAGCCATGAGTGATAGGTGAAGTGAGGGATTTGGTCAGGGAGAGGAGCCCGGAGCACAGTCCTTCTGGTCTTGTCACCGGCAAGTTGGAAATAAAGTCAGAGACTCAGCTCAAGGCACCAACCTCTCTGAGTGCTCTCCCCAGGGCCTCATGCCCCTCCTCCACCTCTGTGTACTGACACCACACCCAATGGGTAGCACAGAGAGCACGTTATCCACTCAGCACTGGAGTGAGCACTGGGAGGCAACTCTCATTATACAGTGTTCAGATTTGGAGATCTCTCTAAATTCTACTTCTTTTCTCTGCTAGCAACATCAGGAAAATCACAGCAGAAAACTGCTTCTAAAAACACTAGAAAGTCACAGCTTTCTTCAGTGAGAAAAATCACTGGAATTCACATTATATATTTTGTTAGAATGCAACTGAATTTCACTGAAATGGAGGAGTTATCCGTGTCTTTAGAATAATTTGTGCTACTATTCTGGTATTTCTGAAAATGTCATGGATTTGGCTGGATCAGCTCATGCTACCAGGAGATCATAAGCTCAGAAAAACATGCTCCTTTGCTCTTTTGTGTCTCATGATGCTCTACTGTGGTGTGATAAGAACATAATATTTTCCTGTCTTTGGAATTTGTTAAAAAACAGATTATGATCATGCATTTTAAATAAGGAGGGAAAATATATACTATTTCTGCCACCATTTGCCATTAATTGTTTTCCAAATTGATATAATCATTTAATTCACGAGAGGAAAAAATTCATTTGGAAATCATCCCTGCCTTTGACATGAACGAAGCCACATACTTTGTTTAATTCTCATTGAAAAAAGACAAGAGAGATGTGACATGTTTAGGGAATATCATATAGTGTTTTGTATTTCACATCCTGACTGCATGACCCCCAGACAAGAATCCCACCCTTCTAAATGTGATAATAACTGCTTCCTAGGCTTTTCCAATGGCTATATCAATACTAAGTATCTAAAAGAAAGCCTAGCACAAATCCATAGCAGTTTAATATTGGTCTGCTGTTACCAGAGTGGGGAACATTTCTATAGGCTCTCAGAATAAGACTAGATGTCTACTTGTCCCAGGGAATACTAAGTTCAAGAAGAAACAGTAAGGTGCATTAAACCTTGGTGTGTTTTACTTACCAGAAATACCTCGAACTTACCAGGAGTATGAGAGCAGTCTTACCTTGAAAATGTTCCTGTTTCAGTTTGTAAATTATTACTCGTCCTGCTTCTACGTAGCTTTCTTTAAAGGAAAGTACGTAGGCTATCCTGGAAAATACACCTATCTGTTTAATGTATGGAGAAGTGAAGAGGTAAGAATTTTCTTGAAAGGTGGGATCTGCGGTTTCAATAACTAAGTACCTTCTGTGTGCCCAGCACAAATTCAGATGTTATCAAGTTGCAAGAGAAGTCTAGACACTGACTCTGTCTACGGAGAGTATTGTCCACAGATGAACACTGTCATCTGATAGACTTTCCAATTTCTTTTTGGCAAGAAGTTACATTGTGCCTATGGTTTGGTAGTAAACTATGAAGTATGAAGCAAGATAAGTAAGTTCTTCATTCCTAAAGACTTCCTACAAAGGATGAATAATTACTTTCAGGAGAAAGGGCTCACTATGGGTTATAGAGTTAGACAAGGTGAATGGTTTTCATATCTAGTTGTACATCCAAATCACATGGAGATTAAACTCCCAATCCTAATCCAGACAAAACAATTCAGAATTTTCTAAGAATGAGACTTGGGAATGTGTGTTTTTAACAGAGTCTTCAGAAAATCTAATGCAGCTAGCCTGGTACTGGTCTGTGATTATATTTGGAAGGATTGGGCTAAATATTTCCTTAATCCCTTTAATATCCCTTCCAACCAAAATCTTGAGATTCTAATCTTATGATTTAGGGGGTTTTTTTTGGTTGTTGCAAAATTCCATCTTTCATTATTCAGTTTTTATTTTTCTCCCCTCTTGGTTTTGACTAGTGTGATCCTGGAGGCTGCCTAATAGAATTGACAACTCAGTTGACCATCATAATGGTTGGGAAACAGATTTTTGGAAACATTAAAGAAACCATTTATCCGTATGTATGATTTACAAGTTTTCATATGATTTAAGTAACCATGAGAGATTTCCTCTGGAAGAAGATAGAATTTTTAGATTACCATGGTGCCTTTTTTAGGAAATGTTTAAGCCAAAACCACTTTATTTTTAATCAATAATGAATGATGCATTAAGGTAATACAGGCTTTTATGTTTTTTATTTAATTTTTTGTTTCCATGGCTAGCAAAGTTTTTAAAAATTTTTTATCTCCCTCTCCTATGAAGATTCCATTGGGAAATCTAAATGTTATATCCTCTGTAGATTCTACATATTGCCCATTACTTCTGAAGATTACTAAAAGGAACTTTGTGAAAATATCCATGTAGTGTGTCATCTTTGCATAAAAATTGGTTGTAAATGAAATACTGGAGAATTTTCAGGTCAATATATGAAAGAATTTCTCTGTGATCCAAAAATACAGCAATAATGAGTACTAAAATGAGAAAACTAAAGTGACACTTGATGTCAAATATTAGATGAACATTCTCATGGATAAAAAGACAAAAAATCATAAAATCATAAGCCCGTGGTCTTGCAGGGCTCCTAGGTAGGAAATGGCAATGTCAGGTGTTAAAAGTACACTATTTAAGACTGGCCAGTTTAACTGAACTTCAAGCTAGGGACAGGATTTTTTCTCTTATTCATGAAAAAAGGGTGAAAACATTCCCTTCCCCCGCATCCCCAAGATATACACAGTTCTGTAGTGCTGCCTAGGATTCCAATACATGGGCTGACAATAGAAGAACATGGACTTATCCTTACAAACTGTAAAAGGCTGGAGCCAAGCCTTCGTCTAGTTCTACAATTTGATATACCACATCCCTAAGAGAAATAACTCTAAGCTTATTTTTGATCCTAGCTTTAGACTGATAATCCAGAGTCAGAGTAGAGGCAACCTCTAAACTAAACACAAGAGGGAGCATACATATGCACAGAGAGGGAGAGAGACAGAGGAGGTAAGAGAATAAAAAAGCAGGCAACATTTTTAAATAAAACAGCAACCTGAGCCTGCCTACAGACCAAAATTCCAAAGTATATGATGAGGTTTAATGTTACAAAGGCTGTTATTAAAAATGAGTTATTAGAAAGTGAGCTTACTTAAGCTGACAATTTTAGCTAGAAGATTCTAGCAAAGCCCCTCAAAAATTATGTTGACATTATTAAAAGCATAAGAAGATGTGATACTGTCATTAAAAAGGATCAGGAAATAATTAAATAAAAACTGACAGAAATGAAACAAGAACCAGTGAATATAAAAAGGAACCAATTTATACATAAATGATAAATGGTATTTTAAATAAAGAGTACGATAGAAGGGACAAGTCCAAAGTACAGTTCTAGACTGGACATGATTGAAGAATGAGTTAGTGAATTATAAAGTAGTACCATGAAATTCCCATATTGTACAGTACAACAGAGAGATGATTTTTTTTTTTTAAAAAGCTAGAATAACAGTAGGCTAGGCTAAGAGGCTCTGCATTAATTTACTATTAGGTCCAGAAAAAGATAATTGAGTAAATGGTAGAGCAAAAATTTCTTTGAATAGGTAATTGCTGAGAATTTTCCAGAACTGAAGAAAAACATGTTTCAAAAATGAAAATGAATTCTGAGTATGAAACAAGATAAAGAGAATTAAGTTCACACCCAGCTTTACTGTGGTGAAACTACAGAAGACCAAAGATAAATAATTTTTATAATCTATCAGAAAAAAAGATAAATGACCTTCAAAGGAATGCCATAATCACTATCAACAGCATTGGATGCTAGAAGACAATAGAGTATTTTCAAGATTCTGAGTGAAAATAATGTTCACCTTACATTTCTAGAATCAGGTTAACTATGATTTAACCAGCAAGTAAATAAAGACATTTTTAGACATAACAAGACTGAGAGAGTCTGCAGTTACAGACGCTCATGGAAGGAGCTACTGAAAGACATACCTGAGTAAGAGAGAGCATAAAGTGGAAGTGTGGGATGTAAGAAACACTGCTCAGCACAGAATTTGTTAGCTCTAAAAAACTGAAATACTTTGGTCTGAATATAAAATCATACAAAATTTGTGTACAGAAAACCACAAGATCCTGATGAAAGAAATTTTAAAAACCTGAGTAAATGGAGAGAAATACTGTGTTCATGGATTGGTAGGTACAGTATAATAAAGATGTCATTTATTCCCAAATTGATTTATTGATATTCCAATCAAAAGATCACCAGGATTTTTGTAGGTCATAAGTGAATTCTAAAATTTACATGGCAGGACAAGGAACTAGAATAGCCAAAGAAAATATGATAAAGAATAAACCTGGAGGGAATCATCCTACTCAATTTTAAGAATTACTCGAAAACTATATTAATCAAGACAGTGTGGGATTGGTGAAGGGATAGTTATATAAGTCAGTGGAACAGAATAGAGATTATAAAAATAGAGACTGCAGAAGATTGCGGAAATAGATTGTAGAGACTGCAGAAATTTGTGATCTACACAAATATGGTTATTTTCTTTTGACAATGGTGCAAAACCATATATTGAAGAAAGAGTAGTTTTTTTTCAGCAAGTGGTGCTGGAACACTTGGACATCTATATGCAAAATATTTAAACTATATGTAAACCTTACACCTTATGCAAAAATTAACCCAAAATGGATTATGTATGATAAAACTATTTTTGAGAAAGCAGGAAGTGATTATTATAAAATTTAAAATAATTGTTACTGCTGTGGGGATTGAGGAGTTTGTAAATAAATTGGAGCACATAGAAGAGCTCTGGGATTCCTAGCAAAGTTTTTGATTCTGAAGAGAATGCTTCTGACTTATCCCTATTAAAAATGATGTGCCAGGATTTTGGTTGATACTTTTGATCAGATTGAGGTAATTTTTTTCTGTTCCTACTTTTCTGTCATAAGGTGCTTGAAGTATTAATTAATATTAATATTAATAGGTGCTTGAAATATATCAAACACATTTTCCTGCATCAGTTGAGATGATTTTATATTTTTCTCCGTCAATCTGTCAATGTGGTCTATTATGTTGATTTTCTAATTTAAAAAACTTTTTATTCCTCAAAGTAATTTCACATTATCATGATATGTTTTCATGTAGTACGGAATTTAGTTGGTTAATACTTTTAGTATTATTGAATTAAATTTTCAAATGTTAGATAAGCTTCTACATTTCCTTTCTCATACATTTTCTATTATAATCAATTTCTTGTTTCTTTGAGTGTCCTTCTAAGTATCATGACACCATGAAGATTAGCAAATGATCCTAGTGATGGTCCTTTCATTTACATGCTCTTTAACGAAACAGTCTGTAAGTAAGTGTATTTCCATGAGCAGAGACAAAGTTGTCTTCTTTTCTTTTTTTTTTTTTTGTCCTTTTTGTGACTGGTAAGGGGATCACAACCCTTGGCTTGGTGTCGCCGGCACCGTGCTCAGCCAGTGAGCACAGGGGCCATCCCTATATAGGATCCAAACCCGCTGCGGGAGCACCGCTGGGCTCCCAAGCGCTGCACTCTCCCGAGTGCGCCATGGGGCCGGCCCTTGTTTTCTTAATCTTGCTGATAAAGAACTCTTGACTTCTGCGTGTGTAGTGAAAACAACAGTGGATTTTGGTTTGGACTTTAGCTGGAGTCATAGTTCTCCTTGCTCTGTGATCTTGAGTTATTTGTCCTCTCTTTCTGCCAGTTTACAGATCAAACGTACTGATTGCTCTGACCTATTTTTTTTTTTTTAGCTTTATTTCATATATTTACTTTTATAATTTCCAACAGCTTGGCTTTGAATTGGTGGAGACGCCGAAAAGCTCGGACCAACTCTGAGAAGCTATACAGTCGATGGGAGCAGGACCATGACCTTGAAAGTTTTGGGCCTCTTGGGCTATTTTATGAGTACTTAGAAACAGGTAATTTTCAACCACTGTTTTAAAACATAGAGTCAGCCTGAATAAATTAAGTGTTTTTTCACTTCTTCATATTTCTTTCTGCCTTACACATAGTAGACATTCAATAGATCTTTGGATGGTGAGCAAAAAGATGGATGCATGGATGGATATGGAAAAGATTTATTTACTGTTTCGCTATCCCACCAAATAGAATGCAGAATGAAGTTTAGTATTAAAACACTAATGTCAGAGATTTTATTTTTCTATAAACTAAATGTTCATATTCTTGAGCCAAATCAAGTAAGAATCACTTTTTAATACTGTCTCAAATTAGCTTTAGTGGCTGTTTCTCCTTTTGTTTGCCTCAGTGACAGCTAGAGAGAGAATAAGTTGGAAAACATTTTTAGAGTCTGACATGCGTTTTATGTATGTTCTTTATGTCGGGCTGAAAAGAAGAAGGCTAAAAGCATTCATGTAAGGGAAACCCAAAATGAGCACAAGAAATGTATAAATATTCCAATGGATTGAACAGAGAAGAAATCTTGAGGTGAAATCTTAGGAGAGATAATGTTGCAAACTGCTTATATATTCTTCTCAGAATGTTTCCTCTCAAGTGTCTTTTTCCACTTCTCATAAAATTTCAGAGGATGATTTTCATAACTTGTTCTCAAGGCTCATAAAATCATGGTGGAATAAAAGAGGTAACCCAAAACTGTTAATGCTTCTCCAGTGTAATACATACATATGATACCTGGGTTGAGATATGTAGATTTAGGACAATAGAAAGAACTGTATTTCATACAGCTGGTTGTAAAATTAGGTAGTCCTTACCTTTTGGGTTGCTAAGGCTGTAATTTTTAATTAATTGTGAGTTCTAAACAAATCTGTGCATACATACATCAGAGATTATTACTGAAATTAAAAGATAAAATTAAGGTTTTTGTAATAAGATTAACTACCATTTATTCAGACACAATTAAGAGTTACTTTATTCTGGAAACTTTATATACATTGTGTCTAATCTTGAAACAATTCTGCAGGGTAGTCATTATTTGACATTTTATTTTTGAGCATAGTGAATCTTGGATAGGTTAATTAATTTTCCATGGGCCACAAAGATTTTAGGTAGAGATCTGAGATTTGAACCTAGAAAGTTCATGCTGCATTTTCATAATACTTCCTCTTCATTTTCTATCTCTTGGCTCAGTAGAGAAAGCAGGAAAGGAAGGAATCAGTATGTATTTGTTCACATGATAGCAAGACTGATTCAGTCTTATGAGAAAAGCTAAAATCTCAAAATATTCAATATTCATTTAAAAATAGAGCATTAATGTAAAAGTCTTTCTCTCCTCCCTTAATGGTAAGCTATTCCTGTATCTCCTATTATTTTTTTTCTTTGCTCATGTTAGAAGCCCAGACTCTCAGTTGTATGGGTTCTTTTACCTTAAGCATTGCTGGAAACAAAAGAACAAAAATAAGGAGAGAAAACAGTTTACTCAGATGTAGTGCCCTGTTAAGTCTTAATAAGGGGAGGGAGTAGAACTTATTTAGAAAAGATGCCAAAATAATACAGAGAATCAGGACCTTAACATACACCCATTCCAAAAGTGTATATTTCCTTTGCCCACACATAATTTATGTGTGTATGTGTATATATATATGTGTGTGTGTGTGTGTGTGCATGCGCGCGCACATGTGCACATTCATACAAATGAATT